ACTCCCATACAATCCCTCTCTCTTCCTCTCTGTAAAAAATCAATAAAATAGCCGAGACCGGTTTGGCTCAATGGATAGAGCGTCGGCTTGGGGACTGAAGGGACATATCCCCAGTAGGGGGTGCGCAAGAGGCAGCTGATCGGTGACTCTCTCATCGATGTTTCTAACTCTCTGTCCCTCTCAATTCCTCTCTGTGTAAAATCAATAAAATATATATATATTTTTTAAATCAATAAAATATATTAAAAAAAAAGACTCATCTAATATACATCCTGGTCATTAATTTCTGTCTTCCTCACCCCATAACCTATTTGAATTGATGTACAGTTTTATGTGAACAGATGTTTTTAGGACAAAAGAAAATTAAATATTCTGCTTACCTCTCTGGGTTAAAGTTTTCCTAGAATTTGTCCTTAAAGTTCCCCATTATCTTGTCAGATTTTCAGTGCTTTTAAAGTAATTGTTTTAATATTTTATCCAGAATGCTTAGTTACTTTCAGCGTAATGGCTGCTCCGAATAATTTTGGCTGGCATTACCTGAAATTCCCTATCATACAGTTTTTGGGGGGTTTTTTTGTCTTGTTTTAAATATATTTTATTGATTTTTTACAGAGAGGAAGAGAGAGGGATAGAGAGTTAGAAACATCGATGAGAGAAAATCTTTGATCAGCTGCCTCTTGCACATCCCCACAACCAAGGTACATGACCTTGACCAGAATCGAACCTGGGAACTTTGAGTCCGCAGGCTGATGCTCTATCCACTGAGCCAAACCGGTTTCAGCTATCATACAGTTTTATCACCAGGAGATTACATCTAAGTAATAGTAAAATGCTTTTATGTATGTCTTTAAATATTTGAATTACTTTTCCTTTAAAAACAACAGTATCTTGCTCTAGCTGGTTTAGCAAATTGGATAGAGCGTTGGCCTGTGGACTGAAGGGTCCCAAGTTTGATTCCAGTCAAGGGCATGTACCTTGGTTGCGGGAACATCCTCAGTAGAGGGTATGTAGGAGGCAGCTGATCGATGTTTCTCTGTCATCGATGTTTCTAACTTTCTATCTCTTCCCCTTCCTGCCTGTAAAAATCAATAAAATACATTAAAAAAATAAAATAAAATAAAAAAATAAAAACAACGGTATCTTAATTTCCCCCCAAACACTGATAAGATTTAAATCTCTTATTTTTATTTTAGAAAAAAATTTAGAGATCATGTATACTTATACTACAAAATATTTAGTAACTGAACTAGAAGAGCACATATTCACTTTAAAACATTCAGATAATAAAATTTAATTAAAGATGGTATTTGTGGCCGAAACCGGTTTGGCTCAGTGGATAGAGTGTCAGCCTGTGGACTCAAAGGTCCCAGGTTTGATTCCGGTCAAGGGCATGTGCCTTGGTTACGGGCACATCCCCAGTCGGGGGTGTGCAAGAAGCAGCTGATCAATAACTCTCATTGATGTTTCTAACTATCTCCCTTCCTCTCTTTAAAAAATCAATAAAACATATTTAAAAAAATAGATGGTATTTGTGGCTTTACTTGACATAATTTCGTTGCCAAATTCATTTATTAGTTTTGTTTATGGTGTCTGGGGTTTTCTATATATAGTATCATGTCGTCTGCTAATAAGAACAGTTTTACTTCTTTCCAATTTGAATGTTTTTTATTTCTTCTTGTTTGATCACTATGGCTACTACTTCTAGCCATAGTATTCAGAGCAGGAGTGGTGGAAGTGGGCATCCTTGTCTTTTTTTTTTTTCTTAGGGGAAATGGGTTTAGTTTTTGCCTATTGAGTATGATGTTGGCTGTAGGTTTGTCATATAGGGCTTTTATTATGTTGAGGTCTGAGCCCTCTATTTCCACTTTGCTGAGTTTTTATCAAGAAAGGGTGTTGGATTTTATCAAATGTTTTTTCTGCATCAATTGATATGATTATGTGGATTTTGTGTCTCATTTTATGTGACATATCACATTTATTGATTTGTGAATATTGTACAATCCTTGCATCCCCGAAATAGATGCCACTTGGTCATGATGTATGATCTTTCTAATATATTGCTGAATCTGATTTGTTAGAATTTTGTTGAGGATTTTAGCATCTGTGTTCATGAGGGATATTGGCCTGTAATTCTCTTTCATTGTGGTGTCTTTATCTGGTTTTGGGATTAGGGTAATGCTGGCTTCATAGAAAGCTTAGAAGTGTGCCTTCCTCTTGGATTTTTTAGAATAGTCTGAGGAAGATAGGTTTTTGTTCTTTGAATGTTTTATAAAACACCCATGTGAAGTCGTCCGGACCAGGATTTTTGTTTTCTGGAAGATTTTTATTTTTATTTTTCATCTCTGTTTCAATTTCTGCAATAGTTATCAGCCTATTCATATTTTTTTATTCTTCTTGGTTAAGTTTTGGGAGCTTATATTTTTCTAAGAATATGTCCATTTTATCTCGGTTTTCCATTTTGTTGGAATAGAGTTGTTGACAGTAAATATACATATTTTTTATAATCGTTTGTATTTCTGTGGAATTGGTTGTTACTTCACTTCTTTCATTTCTAATTTCCTTATTTCGGTCCCCCCTCTCTTTGCTTCTTGGTGAGCCTGGCTACCAGCTCTTGGTTTTGTTTAACTTTTGTATTACTTTTTTAGTCTCTATGTCACTTATTTATACTCTGATGTTTATTGTTTCCTTCCTTCTGCTTACGCTGGTCTTTTCTTGTTGCTCTCTTTCTAATCCTTTGAGGTGAAGAGTTAGATAACTTATTACCATTGTTGCTTGTTTTTTGAGGTATGGGTAAGCCTGTAGAGCTATGAACTTCCCTCTCAAGACTGCTTTCTCTGTGTCCCATAGATTTCAGATTGCTGGGTTTTCATTGTCGTTTGTTGCCATGATGCTTTTTATTTCTTCTTTGATTTCTCTGGTAACCCAGTCATTGTTTAGTAGCATGCTATTTAGCCTTCAGGTGTTTTATTATTATTATTATTATTTGTAGTTGATTTCTAGTTTTATGCCATTGTGATCTGAGAAGATGCTTGGTATTTTTTCTATCTCCTTGTATTTGAAGAGACCCTGCCTGTGTCCCAATGGTCTATCTTTGAAAATGACCCATGTATACTTGAGAAGAATATATATTCTGTGGCTTTGGGGTGAAATGTTCTGAAGATGTCAATTTCATCTGGTGTCAGTCTTTTGGGTTTCATTTTTTTTGGGACTCTGTGGGCTTCTTGCACTTGTGTGAGTTTTTTCCCTTATATCAGGGATATTTTCTGTCATTATTTCTTCAATCAGGTTTTCTATTCCTTGCTTACTTTCCTCTCCTTCTGGCAACCCTATTGTGTGGATGTTGTTTCATTTCGTGGTGTCCCAAAGTTCCCTTAGCCTCTCCTCCTGTTTTTTAATTTATTTTTTTTTCTAGAAGCTGCTCTGCTTGGGTATTTTTTCCTACCTTGTCTTCTAGCTCACTGATGCCATCCTCTGGTTCTTCTAGTCTACTGTTATGCTTTCTATTGAGTTCTTTATTGAAGTGATGTCATTTTTCATTTCTTCATTCTTTATTTCCTCTTGGTTCTTTCACATATTGTTGAATTTGTCTTCCAACCTTCTCAGTGACCTTATGACCATTTCTCTTAATTCTTTCTCTGACATATTGCTTGCCTCCATTTTGTTTACGTCTTTTTCTGATGCCTCCTTTTCTTTCATATGTGGACTGTTTCTTTGTCTCTCCATGATCTCTCCTCTCCAGGTGTCTGGTTGTGTAGCTCTTTCTCTCCTATATTGACTTAAAAGGCACAAAATACAACACAGAAGGCACCGAATACAAATGTATTCACGACACTAATAATCCCAAATATAGATGCCATCAGAAAAGAAAATTAGGGGATTAAGAAAAAAAAAGAGTGCAAAAATGATATTTAGAAAAGGGAAAAAAAAGTAAGAAAAGAAAGAGAATAACAAAGGGGGAAAAGCCTATTTATATGGGGAGAAAACTTCAATAGAACAACTAATCCCAAAATATGCAAACAGCTAACACCCAGATATGAGTGCAGACTACAAACAACAACTAATAACAATTGAGGAGATAAAAAACAGAAGCAAAAAAAGAGAAACAATCACAGAAACAAACCAAAAAACCTAATCTAATTAATAATCACAACTATAGGATGGAGAGAAAGAAGGGCAAAACAAAACAAAACAAAAACATAAAAAAAAAAAACAAAATAAAAACAATCCAACAAAAAGGGGGAAGAGAGAAAAAATTTGGATAGTGAAGAAAGAGAAGAGAGAAGTATGTATGGACTTAGACCAGGGGGTCGGAAGTTAGATATATAAGTAGAATGAATTTTTAACGGGGTAAAAAGAAGTCATAGGGAAAATCTAAAGCAGGAATAGTCTAAGAGAAACAGAAGAACAAAAGGGGAAAGGTGAGGAAGAGAGTACTTTTTTTTTTCTTTAAGAGTACTTTTGATTAATGTTATTTGTGCTTTTGATGTCATATTTAAGAAATTGTCCAGTCCAAGGTGATAATTTTCCTCAGTGTTTCTTTGTAAGGTTTTCATAGTTTTAGCTCTTAGATCCATGTTTGTGTGTTTGTCTGTCTGTGGTATGAAACAGAGGTCCAAATTAATTATCTTGCATGTGGAGTTTCAGTTGTCTAAATGCCATTTGTTGGAGAGACTGCTCTTCCCCCATGGAATGGCGCTTGGCACCTTTGTTGAAAGTCGGCTGACCACAAACACACGCTTGTATTTTGGGACTCTGTCACTCTGTCTGTTCTTCGGCTTCCACCTCATCGCTTTGATGACCGTGACTTTGTGGTACTGAAACCAGGAAGTGTGATTCCTCCAACTTCGTTTTCCTTTCTCAAGATGTTTCTGCTCTTTGCGGTCCTGTGCCTTCCTTGCCAATGTGGGTTCACTTGATGGCAGGCTTTTCCTCTCCTCCGCGGCTTTCTAGCGTTTGAGAGGCTGAATGGACGACCCCATTTTGCCTGTTTTGTCTTATAGGTGAACAACTTCGTGATCTTTGAAGGCTTCTTTGCCCACCAGCATCGTAAGTGCTCTGCCTTTGTGTGTGTGGGTCCAGTAGTTGGTGAGGGAAAGAAAAGAGGTGGATTCCTGGCCCCACTGGGCCCCTCACTGAGGGGCACCCCCACTTCCTTTCTCACAGGGCCCCCTGCTCCCTCTCTGAGGGCAATTCGACACTCGCGCGCTGCGGGGGACCCTGCGCCGGCCGGTAACTGCACTGCCAGGCGGGCTGTGGCTGGGAGAGCGGGGGTCTGTGGGAGCGGAGACAGGCTAAGCAGCCCGCCCGCCTCCAGCTGTCTCACCTGCCTCTCCCATCACGGCGTGTGGGGTGTGTAGCTAAGCTAGCTCTTGGAGCCTCTTGGACCGTTAATGCCCATGAACTTCTGGTTGCTTCAGGTCCTCAAAAGTAGGCAAGTCCGTTCCTTTGTAAGTCCCGCACTCCTTCCGTTGGTGAGGGACAGGCATGTGCAGTCAGCCTCCACCCCCGTGCAGCTAGCCCCCCCGTGCAGCCAGCCCCCGCCCCTCGGTGCAGCCAGCCCCTCATGTGCAGCCAGCGCCCCTCCGTGCAGCTAGCCCCCCCGTGCAGCCAGCCCCCGCCCCTCCGTGCAGCCAGCCCCTCATGTGCAGCCAGCGCCCCTCCGTGCAGCTAGTCCCTCCCCGTGCAGTCAGCCCCCTAGTGCAGTTAGCCCCCCCGTGCAACCAGCCCCCACGTGTAGCCAGGCCTCCATGTGCAGCCAGCCCCCCATGTGCATCAAGTTCCCCCATGTGCAGTTACAGAACGCTGACACAAATGGTACAAAGTGCAAACATTAGTTTTAGAAGATAACACTCAGAATTTATAACATTCCAACCAAATAATGAAATGGATCTGGAGACACCAGACCTCGGAGGTACTGAAATGCTGCTCCTTTGCCCAGGCCCTCCTCATGCTCCCTGTCAGCCCCACTCCGCCCTGCTGCCCGGTGCTGGCTGAGCGAGCGCACCGCAAAGAGGGGCCCTCCCGGGCGGGTGGCTGTGACCAGCGCCGCCTCGTCCTTGGCCAGGGAGGGCGGTAACTATCCCTCAGAGAACAGGCTGGCACAGTTCTCGGCGTCAGCCCGTGTCCGGCCTCAGGAGGGACTCCTGTCCATGCCTGACTGCGGGCACCAAGGCTTCCTGCGCCCGCCCTGCTGGGCACGGCTGCCAGGGGGGACCCCGTGAGCCCACAGCGGCAGGAGAAAGCCCAAGGACATTTGCCCGAAGCCGCTCCTGGTCTCCTGAGGGAGAGGGCGGAGGCAGAGCCCCCGGCATGTCAGCCTCCCCTCCGCCCGGCCAGGTGCTCTCTTCAGCCTTCTTCCCAATAAGACTTAGCCCGCCGGGGAGGCCCTGCCCGCCTCCCCTGAGCAATCCCTGCTCGCCTAGTAGAGGGCCCGATCCTCGCTGGCCCGACTGGGACCACCCCATTGCCCAGAACCCCAGGGCCTGACAGCATCCTCGGCAGTAAGAGCTCACTTCCTGGCTGCCCTCCTGCACCCCCTCCCCTGGGCCTTCCCCCCACGCTGCGTTCCCTCTCCTCCCGGCTCCCTCCTGTGGGGGCGCTGTGGGGTCGTGGGGTCATGGCCGGGAGGAAGGTACCAAGTGTGCCACTTGGTGTTCCCCGCACCTGTGTCTTCTCACCACCAGCTCCAGCGAGGAAGCTGCCTCCCAAGAGAGCAGAGGGAGACATTAAGCCGTACTCCTCAAGCGACCGAGAATGTAAGGGGCCGGGTGTGCGGGGCGGGTGCCCACCGCAGGGCGGGAGGACCCGTTCTCCTGCGGGCTCTGATCTCTCCCCTCCCCTCCCTCTCTCTCTGTGCTCTTCCCAGTCCTGAAGGTCGCTGTGGAGCCTCCTTGGCCCCTGAACAGAGCCCCTCGCCGGGCCACTCCTCCAGCCCACCCGCCGCGCTCCAGCAGCCTGGGCAACTCGCCGGAGCGAGGGCCCCTCCGCCCCTTCGTGCCAGAGCAGGAGCTGCTGCGCTCCCTGCGCCTCTGCCCCCCTCACCCTACCGCCCGCCTCCTGCTGGCCACCGACCCCGCGGCCAGCCCGGCCCAGCGCCGCCGCACCAGGTACGGCGGTGCGCGGTGGAGGGAGACAGAGCTGGAGCTGTGGTGGGCTGCGGGTGAGGGAGCAGAGCGGAGCAGGCCTGCAGGAGGGAAGCAGCCAGCTCCGTGGGCTGAGCTGGGGGGAGGGTGTAGTCCCTGCGGGAAGGAGAGTGCCTGCCTGACACAGGCAGGAGCCATCCCGCGGCCAGTGGGCATCTCCTGTTTCTCTCCCAGCTTCCTCTTTACCTGACTTCCCTGTTTTTTCTCTTCCCCCTTCCCCTCTCCCTACCTCCCGCCCTTCCATCCTCCCACAGCTCCCTTCCCCGCTCGGAGGACAGTCGCTACTGACAGTTAACCCTCTGCCCCCTGGGAGCCTCGATGGCCGAGACCCGTCCCCCAGAAACCCACCCCTTCCCTTCCAGTGTGTCCCCCAGGGCCCATGGAGCCTGACAGCCCAGACTCCCTCTTCTCCTCTCTGGGACAGTGGCCACAACCCTGTAGCTCTCCTTGCCCTAGAAGCACCCCCTCTCCTAGAGCGGCTCTGAGTACCCCAGCCTCTGCGCAGCCCCTCCTGCGGTCCACAGCACCCTGGCCGCTGTCCGGCTCTAGACCACCATGGCGCCCCACGCCTCCGCGGCAGCAACTGGTCCCTGAATCAGTCTGTCTCCCACTCCAGTGTCCCTGAAGGCCCTGGTACTGCTGTGTGCCGCCCTCACTGCCCTCAGCGCCACAGCAGCCCGTGAGGTTGCCTCGGAGCAGTCCAGGCAGACAGGACAGGGACTTACAGCTCCTTCAGGGACCCCACCATGGCTGAGCTCTTCATTGCCTATTGTGCGTCAGGGAGCCGAGCTGAAGTCTGCTTTGGGCTAGACTCGCACTCCTGAAGACAGCACTACCCCGGCCACATTCTGTGAGGGACTTGGTTTCTCCGCAGCAGATCTCAGCAAGCACCTGGGGTCAGAGAGGGGTCATCTTAGCCGGTTTCACACAAGAAATCTGAGTCTCCAGGGCCTGTTAGCTCCGGGATCCGTCCTCCCCCAGTAGCTAGACGCTGATATACTCCTTGTTGTGAGATTGTCGGACTTCCTCTCTTCTTTCCTCCATAGCAAGAGCCGTTTTCCCTGCTGCACACCCAGGTGTCAAACCTCTGGGTGTGCGGTCCATTAGGTGCCCCCACTGTGTTCCCCCAAATCTGCGGGAGCAGGATCTCCCTTTCTCCCTCCTCATTCCTCCTTTTCCTCTTCCTCTCAGTGTTGTTTGAATAAAATGTGAATTCCTTTGTGTTTTTTAAATGGACATTTTCAATGAAAAAAAGCACACCCCAAAAAGCAACTTAAGGTCTCGACCTCCTTATTTTCCTGGGACCTGGCACCTCTGTCCAGCTGGTCCCCTCACTGCTGAGGTCTTCCCCATTGCACTGCTGGGTCTCCTTCCCAGATCCTGACTCCCCTCCTGCAGCTGCTGGGTCCCTCTGCGGAGGCTTCGGTTACTTCCCCATTCCCCCCAAGCCCGGGCTCTCCTGCCTGACCCGACCCTCTGTCCCAGGCAGCCCTTGCAGAGATGTAGAGGTTTACCATTGTTCCTGGGACCTACTTGTGGCATCCCTGTAACAATCCCCTAATGGTCCCCTGGGTTCCTCTTTCCATTTTGGTTCCTTCTCCCCCACCAAACCCTAGCACCTCTCCCGACAGTCCCTTACCTCTGTTAGTGCCCAACAGTCTGTCACTCTCTTCAAAGGCTCGCTCCCTTTCTTCCTAAATCAGCTTTGCCACTCCCTTAATTAAGGCAACCGTGTTTTCCAAACCAAACATCTGGGCACCTGGTCCAACAGATTGGCTTACCTGTGTGTAAGTCTGTTGCTTGAGATTATTTGCATCACTTTATTAACACCTTACTCCAACTAGAAATAGTAAAGCAATGAATCAAGGTTGCTCCAGAAAGTCTTTGGGTATAAAACGAGCTCCCTCCCCCTTTCGGGGCTGCTTAAAGCCCTAGAAGTCTAACTGCCCCCTCTGTACTCCGTGCTATTCTGTTTACTCCTCTCCTGATTCTTTCACACCCCTCCCCCCCATCAGCCTCTTCCCCATCACCTCCCATTTCTCCTACAGGGGGGCTCCCCCAGGGCTGGGAGCCCAGAGCTGCTGCTACAGCCGCTATGGCGGGCTGAATTCCTCATCCCCCAGCGCAGGTAAGTATTCTCCCCTCCTTGCCCTCAAATCAAGCAGGTCATGCTCCCTGCCTGCTCCAGCCTTCCCATGCACATGCCTGGTATTTCCGCAGACAGCCAAGAATGGAAGCAGGGGGAACAGGAAACAGAGACTAGGTGAGGCCTGATGCCCTTCTCTCCTGGCCTCCCGTACCTCTGCCTCTTTTCCTAACGTCACTCTCAGCTCCTGAAATCTTATCCTTCCAACTGCCCCCCCCCCCCCAAAAAAAAAAATCCTTCTACCGAACATCCTACAAGCCTGTTTCCCTATAAATTCAACCCTGGCACTTCCTTGGGCACTTTCTGAGTTTCAGGTCTGGACATAGCACCGTGCTTCCATCACTGTCCTCATCTACTTAGGAGCCAGGAAGACCCTGAGTGTGATCTTAATGCCCCTCGGGGCCTCTGACCGCCTCTCACCTCCCCACCCCAGGGCTGCCGGCGAGGAGACTTTGTCACAGGATGGGTGTGGGGAGGCCCCCACGCACACGGCGACTCCACAGGCCCCGGCCCCCCCAGCCCGGCACTGCACCGTGCCGGCGGACGTGTTCAACGCCAGGGCCATTCGAAACCTGCAGGAGCGCCGCAGCACCAGGCCCTGGTGACGCAGCGCCGCGCGCACTCCGCCTCACGCCGAGCAGCACAGCCGCACGCCCGGGGCGTCCCTTCACTCGTTCACTCATTCAACAGGCCTCTGGGCAGTGCCAAGCCGCTCCTCTGGACCAGAGCAATAAAGCGTTTTCCTCAGCTGCCGGAAGCTTGACGTCGTTACTTCCCTCAGCCTCTGCGCCCAGCATCTTGCGCAAGCGCCCGGGGAGGCGCGAAGTGCGCGGCCGCGGGTTTTCTGCGCAGGCGCGCTAAGGCGGGCTCGGCCGCTGGCGCAGGCGCAGGCGCACTAACAGCACACCGGCGCCTCGCCGCCTCGCCCGGCCCGCCGCAGTGCGCAGGCGCGCACCGTCTCCGTTCCCCTCCTCGCAGCCCTGACCCCCGCCTCTCCCCTTCAAGGAGCCGGCTGCGGGGCGCGCTCACCCCGCAGGACGGGCAGCCGCACTCGGAGGCGCGCTCCCCGCTCCCGGAAGACCATGTATCAACCCAGCAGGGGGGCGGCCCGGCGCCTGGGCCCGTGCCTCCGCGCCTACCAGGCTGGGCCCCAGGTGAGGAGGGGGCGCCCGGGAGGGAGGCGGGGCGGGAGACCCCCAGCCGCGCGAGGGCGGGGCGCGCGGTCTGCGCAGGCGCAGGACGCCCGCCGCCCTCCCCGTGCCGGCCTGCCGGAGGCCGGGGTGGCGGGCGCGGGACGGGCGCTGCCAGCCCTGTCGTTCCTCCGGGTCCTGGGGGGGGGACGCCCACGTCTCCGCGGGGGTCTGTGCCTGGAGGTGATCTGAAGGGCGGGGGGCGGAGAGGTTAGCACGCACCGCACCCGGCGCGGCGCCGCCCGGAGACCTTGCACCCGGATAGCGGACCCGGCAGGAAGGCGGCCTCGGACCCCTGGACCCGGCTCGGGCCCTGCGCCCAGGTGGGCAGGATGGCCACGCCCCCAGAGTGATGGAGTGACGTGGGACTTGGTCAGCCAGACTTGGGGTGACCTCCCTCCTCCGCATCAGTTTCAAGGTCATTAAGCAGGAGTGAAGTGCAGCCTTTGCGAGGCTCCTGGGCTGTGTCGTCAGCGGGGCCCGGAGTGATGGCGTACCTGGAGCCGCTTTAGCAGTCCAGGGCTGTCCCTCGCCGCAAGCGGTGGCTCCCTCCGCCGCCGCCATAGGGGTTCGCAGGGAACGGGAGTGCGGAAGGCTTGGCGCTCACACGGCTCCGGTTCCGTTGGATCTCCGCCTCCGCCTCAGCTCGTGCGGCCTGCGGGCCACGCCTCCCCGCTGCGCAATGCCTCGCGGTTCCTCCTGTCCGCTCCTCACACGCCCTGTGATTCTCGCTCCCGGAGCGCTGGAACTGCCCCCCGAAGTATTGGAATCTTAAATGAAAAGGCATTCGCTAACCGTTTGGGGGAGGTGCTTGTCTTGTAGGAAACTTTCCTTTTGGAGAGGGAGGTGAATCCAGCCCCTTTTCCTTGAGCAATTCCCGCGTCGGCCGGAGGAGGGGTGGACGTGAAGCGTTAATGCGAGTTTGGGCGAAGGCCATCAGGCAGCGGGGTTATCGTTTTTCCTTTCGTTCTTCCTCCTTAGGACCAGCTTTCTCCACGGGCTCTGCCATTCCCACCCCTGTGGCCCCACTCCACGACTTGCACTTCTCCCCCTTCTCTTCAGTGGTCTCCCACACTCTCATGGCCGCCTGCTGGGCTGCTTCCCCGAGCTCCCCCGCTACCTCTCCCTCAGGTCCACGCCCTCAGCTCACCCTGGGCCAGTCTCCCTCCAGGAAAGGGGGAGGAGGGACCAGGCCCTGAGTTGCATAGTGGCTGTCTGGATGGGCTTAGGAGCCTACTTGAGGGACCTTCCTGCCCCCACCTTGGGGCTGTGCTGTCTTTCCAAGCCCCTGTGACTGCCCGCCCTTCCCCTGCCACTCCATCAGGAGACCCCAGTATGGAGGAGCACCTGGCTGTCATGTATGAGAGACTGAGACAAGAGGTAAGTCAATTCAAAAGTGACATTCATCCACCTGGTGGGACTTCAGGTAATCTTGGAGTTAGAGGGTTAGTCAACTGGATTCTTTCCTGAAACCACAGGCGAGCATAGAAGCATTTCCAAACATTTCCCAGAGAGAAGACAGTCCCCATGTGGGTTAAGGGCGTTATACATGGCTTGTAAATGACCTCCCACGCAGAGGGAAGGAGGCACTAAGAATAGAAAGCTGAGAAATGGGATCATCTCTCCTTTCCCACTGGGTGATGCCTTCCTCTTGCACCTAGCTTCCCACTCTCTTCCTTCACTCCCATGACTACACCCTCTACTCCTCGGACGTGGAGTTCATCAACGAGATCCTGCGCATACGCACCAAGTGAGTCCCGGGCAGGCTGGGAGGGAGGAGCCCCTGCTGTGTGCTTTCTAGGGAAGGTGCTAGGCCTCTTCCCGTTTCTCATGTGGCTCGGTCTTGTCTTCTGGCTCTGCGTGAGCTTTCTTTCCCATCCCTTCTTCTCAGGGGCCTGACGTGGTATATCCTGTCACTGACCCTCTGCCGCTTCCTGGCCTGGAACTATTTTGCACAAGTTCAGTTGGAGGTGCTGCAGTTGACCCGCCACCCCGAGAACTGGACCCTGCAAGCCCGCTGGCGGCTGGTGGGGCTGCCCATCCACATGCTCTTTCTGCGTTTCTACAAGCGCGACAAGGAAGAGCTCTACCGGTAAGGGGCTGAGGAAGACCCCACGCCACAACGTTCCCACACGTTCCCGTTCGGGATTCGTTAGTCTCCTCGATAACCTTCATCTACCCGTCTTCACTGAGGATCCTTAAGGGCAGGGGTCTTGGTTTAGTCTCCTTTATTGGAACAAAAATGGGACTTGGAGTACATGAGAGGACCTCTGAACTCTGCTTGTTCATGCCTATCACCTGGCACATAGGTAGGAATTCAAATATTTACTGAACAAATGAAAATTCCTGCCTCGTAAGTTGAGCCTCACACCCTTAGGTAAAGCACTTGGTAAATTTCTGGCAAAGCAGGGCCCCAAGAAATTATTAGGCTCGCCCCGAATCAGCAGTTCGTGGACTGCGGCACAGTGGAATCATCTTGGTGCCAGACGTTCTGCTTTATTGTGACGGGGTACAACCTAGCCATCAGGATGCTTCAGTCCCCAGGTGATCTGACACTAGAACGTAGCAGTTAAGGAACTAGGCGTTTAAGCAAATGCTTGAGTTAATCTTTGGGATCAGTCACCTTCCCCTCAGCTTCTCTTCCTTCACCAGGACCTACGATGCCTATTCTACTTTCTACCTGAATTCCAGCGGCCTCATTTATCGCCACCGCCTAGACAAAGTGAGTCCCAGGAGGGATGGGGAGGGGGAAGGGGTAGCACCCTGCTAATGCAGTCACTTCCTCCCGGCAGCTGATGCCCTCACACTCACCCCCAATGCCTGTGAAGAAGCTGCTGGTGGGAGCCCTGGTGATGCTGGGGCTGTCAGAGCCAGAAGCCAACTTACACCTGTGACCCAAGGCCTCATCCAGGAACGGGTGGGGCAGCACTGAAAACTGCTGCATCCGAGAGGTGGGCTGGCCAGTTTCTTCCTGCTCCTCCCTCCCTCCTCGCCATTTCCTGCTGTGGAAAGCTGCTGTGTAATTTAACTTGTAAATAATAAAGTCTAAAGTGAAAATATGAGATCGAATTTCCACATCACTTTCTCTAGCTTACAAAAGTTCCCACAAGCTTTATTCCAAAATTACTTTTATTAATGGACATTAAATAACATGGAGCTGGTGTCGTGTTGTTTAGCTTTTCTTTACCCTAGCTCTTCACGGGTCTTGCCTGTTTTTTTGGGCATTTTCTTAGCATGAGGATCTTCTAGCTCCTTGGCTTTATAATAGTGAGGTGCCACCTCCAGAAGCCAACTGCTCTCAATCTCCAATACCTAGAAGGGGAGAGAAACCAGGAGTGATCCTGTCTTTCCAACCTAGATTCTTGTGTGTGAGCTCAGAGAGGCCGGTTTGGCTCAGTAGGTAGAGCCTCGGGCTACAGACTGAAGGGTCCCAGGTTCAATTCCGGTCAAGGGTACTTGCCTGGGTTGCAGGAGGCAGCTGTATAGTGATTCTCAAGGTATCTCTCCCTCCCTTCCTCTCTGAAATCAATAAAAATATATTTAAAAGGTTCAGAGCTCTGCACCATCTGCCCCAGAGGCTGGCATGCCCCCACGTGTTACTCAAGTTCCCGAGAGGCTCCCCCTCAGGTCCGCATGAAAACTGTAAAGCACACTCGGGGCAGAGACCACATCTGCTTTGTTCATCACCCCCAGCTCCGAGTCCTAGGCGACAGCCTTTCAAATGCTCGTGGTGGGCGGTCAGATCTGACACCCAGTCAGCTGTTAGGAAGAGTGTCTTCGGAGCTTATCTTTCCTTCAACCAGTTTGCCGTTCCTCTGCCAGGCCAGCGACTTGAACCTGGTTGAGCTGGCAAAGCACCCCTCGTCTCTGCTACCGCCACCGGCCAGGGCAGGGTGGAACCCTCACCTGCCGCATGAACTCCTTGGTGGTCAAAACAAGTTCGTGGTAGAGCAGCCAGCGAGGCTGTTCCTCAAAGAGGGAGGAGTTGGGGTGAATGAACACGGTCTGCTGCTGCTTCACCGTGCGGTAGCCGCTGCGCGTCAGCCGTGCCGTGTGGTAGAAGTAGCCGGCGGTGACGGCCTAGGGAGCAGGCAGGAGAGCCTCGATGGGAAGGAAGGCCAGGCCGCAGGGGCCCTCAGCCCTGGCCACCTTTTCGGTTTTAGTTCGGGCTCCTGGAGAACCAGGAAGGGGAGGGTGTGTGAAGAGCCCGGAGGAGGCGGGCCTTCCCCAGCGCAGGCGGGAGGGCTGCCGGCCGGGGCTGCGGGAGGGGCGCTGACCTTGCGGACACGGATATAGTCCCCCTGGCAGGAGCTGAGGCCAACTTCCACCCGCTCCAGGAGCCCCTCCAGCTGCTCCCGCACGTCGCGGGCTCGGCGCATGGATCTGAACTGGACAAAGTTCTCGTAACACCACTGGGAAGAGTAACCACTCTCAGCCCACTGTGAGGAGGGAAAGGGGTGAGTGTATTGGACCAGGGTCCCCCACGGCCCCCGCCTTCGCACGCTCCCGAGCCCAGCGACCTGCGTGTACACGTTGAGCAGGACCAGGTGGTCGCCCCCAGGCAGGAAGAAGTTGACTCGGGCGTTGTCTGCATGGACCACTTTGTCCTTGGGCCGGTAGAAGATGGAGTTGTTGACGGACAGCATGGCGGCCACTGTCAGGATCTCCTCTGAGCAGCTGTACCTGGGCAGGAAGGAAAAAAGCTTGAGCGCTCAAAGCAAGACGGAGGGCAGACACCTGGGGGGAGTGACCACGGTGTGGCTGTCCTCACAGGGGGACCACCTGGCAGAACAGGGCTGGGCACTCAGAGTAGCTAAATTTGGAGGCGGTGCCAGCTGCTCAGAGCTGTGCTGACAGGGACAGATGGACACTGCAGAGGGAAGGACGGGCCGCTGAGGAGCCAGAGGCAAGGTGAGCAGTGTGCATCGGGGAAAGACTGCTTCCTTTAAGCTCATGTGACGACCTCTGACCCCAGCCTCAGCATTTAAAGGTGGTCCCTCCACAGCCACAGCTAAATGCTCCAGTCTGAGCCTTAGGATGAGCCAGTCCCCAAACCGGCCCTCACTCAGCACTCCTCAGAGATGGAAAGCCTTCCACTTCCCTCATGCCCCCAATTTCCTGTGTGTTTGCCCATCTTACCCATTTCATGTCAAGGACGCACAGTGTCTACTGGCCCTTGTGGGCCTCAATGGGGGCAGTAAGCGTTCTCTAGCAACTTGTTATTTGTTAAAGAAGTTGGTAGAGAGAAAAGGAGCAAAATAACAAAGATGGCCCCAGAGACTGCAGGAGGCGTGGCAGCTTGTGGTGGGCCTGGCTGGATGGGGGACTCACTTCTCAGAAGCCAGGATCATTTTAGAGAGCATGGGGTCCACGGGCAGCTCTGCCATCTTCCTACCAGACTAAGGGGAGGAGAGAGAGAGGGTTGAGCTGGTCCTCCTGCAGGTGTCAGTCCTCCCGCCCAGCCCACGGCCTCCATCTCACCGTGGTGAGCTCCCCAAGGTGGTTGAGGGCTCCCAGAGCATACAGCTGCTCCAACGCCAGCAGCAGGGTCTCGTACGGGGGAGGGTCCAGGAAGTCAAAGTGCATGAGGTCGTGGATCCCTGCAGAGAAGCGCGGGTAGAATGGAGCCCCTTTCCTAGGACCAGTGGCTTCAGCCCAGCCTCCGGGGGTCCGGACAACCCTAATCACCTAAGCTCTTGAGCAGCAATACTACGTTGCCCAGGCTGGTCCTCTGGATCTCGGGCACCGTGGTCTCCTCCAGCTCATGCTGATAGGCCCAGGCGGTGTACAGGCGGAAGCACTTCCCAGCAGCCACCCGGCCAGCCCGACCCGCTCGCTGATTGGCTGAGGCCTGGAAAGGAAGGAAAGACAGGCCAGCTGACAACTGGGTGGGGGAGAGAAAGGCAGTGTTTATGCAAGAACTCTGGAGGCTGAGGTTCCGGCCTCTAGAAGGGGCCTGCCTGTGGGTCCATCCTGCCTCCCGCTCCCCCGTGGAGAGGCACGGAAGCCGGGCTGACCTTGCTGCAGGGAGTGACCGTGAGCGACTCCATGCCCGTGCGAGGGTTGTAGCTCTTCTGCTTACAGAACCCTGGGTCCAGCACGTAAATGATGCCCTCGATGGTGAGGGAAGTCTCCGCGATGTTGGTTGCCACAACCACCTGAGTGAGAGGCTGTCGGTCACTCAGAGACTCCAACCCCCCAGCGATGTAGGAAGAGGAGTCCTGGGAGATTTGGAGCAGACAGCAGGGGCAGATAAGGGCAGGAGATGAGGAAATTCGTGTCTAGTCCCAGGAGGACAGGCTGGGAGGAGGGTGGGGGACAGCGGGGTTCAGCCAGGGCATGACGGAAGGAAATGGAGAAGAGGTTGAGGTTTCAGAGATGTGAGGTATGTGGCATCCGAATGGTCCTTTTAAAACACTCTCCTCACTCCCCTCTCCTCACTCTCCTCCCTGCCGCTTCCCACCCTGCTGGAGTGACACGCGGTGTGAGCCTCCTGATTTGTCTGTCTGGGGTCCAAGACTGGCTCCCTCCTCATCCAGTTCAAGCCTCTGTCTCGCTTCCACTTGACTGGGGAGGGAGGTCCTTGCCCACACTCCCAGGGAAGTCCCACCAGCCCTCACCCCTCTTCCCGGCACCGTCTGCCTGACCCCCCTGGGAGCTCCCAGGCCAGGAACTGCCTCCGCCTAGCCCCTCCCTGTTCGATATTTGATCAAAGTCGCACTTTGCTTAAAATCCTGTGATTGCCATTCAGTCTGAAGTCCAAACTTGTGCACCTGCCACCCGAGGCCCTCCCTAACCTGGTCCAGATGTGGTTTTGCCCTGTCTCCCACTGCTTCTCACGAACCTGCCATTGAGCCGTGCACTCTGACCTCAGTCACACCATAAGCCTTCCTCTGACATCCCTGCCACTTTCTTTTCTTTTTTTAAATGTATTTTATTGATTTTTTACAGAGAGGAAGAGAGAGGGATAGAGAGCTAGAAACGTCGATGAGAGAGAAACATCGACAAGCTGCCTCCTGCACACCCCCTTCTGGGGATGTGCCTGCAACCAAGGTACATGCCCTTGACCGGAATCGAACCTGGGACCTTTCAGTCCACAGGCCGACGCTCTATCCACTGAGCCAAACCGGTTCCGGCCCCTGCCACTTCCTTACGGGTGCAGATAAACCCCCTCCCGCACTCCGGGGCCTCACCACTCCTCACGTGCTCGCCGCCTGCTCCTGCTCACAAAAGGCCCGCATCTGTGCGTCCTCTCCAGAGCATGCGCAGACGCGCCCGCCAGCCCGCCCAGCACCACAGGCGGCGCCCGCTCACCTTGCGCGCCCCCGGGGGAGTGGGCTGGAAGATGCGGGCCTGCATGTCGGAGGGCAGGTTGGCGTAGATGGGCAGCACCAGCAGCTCCCGGATCTTGGAGCCCAGGCGGCGGCAGCGGTCCTGGAGCATCTCGCAGGCGGCCTCGATCTCCTCCTGGGTGTGGGGAGAGCAGCAGGGCCCGGTCACAGAGGCCGCCCTGGCCCTCCGACCCGTCTCCCCGGAGCCCCCGCACCTGTCCCGTCAGGAACACCAGCACGTCCCCGGGAGGCTGGGTCACGTGGATCTGCAGCACAGACACCACGCAGGCTTCCAGGTAGTCGGCCTCTGGAGCCTGGCGAGGAGAGGGCACAGGGAGGCATGTGCTCAGGCAGCCCGTCCTCCCCGCTCGCCCGCTCCGTCCCAGCCCCTTTGGACCCTTCGTCTGCCCTGCCCCCCGGGGACAACTCCCTGCCGCAGGCCTCACCCGCAGGCCCATCCGCGGGGAGCACCTTGGTATAGAAGATGTCCACGGGAAACCTGCGCCCGGGGATCCGGAAGACGGGGGCGTCGTCGAAGAAGGCGGAGAAGCGGGCAGTGTCCA